AACCCAAGGAACCCAGTGACAGAGAGAGAGGAGTGATGAGCAAATTGGCAAAGAATGGGCTGGCAAAACCAGCAGAGACAGCTGATCTGAACAGGGGAGAGCTCTTGGACCCCAGACTGACAGTGGTGAGGCCAGCATGGGACTGATCTGGACCCCCCAAATGTGAGTGTCAGTGAGAAGGCCTGGGCAACCTATGGGGCCCTGAGCTGTGGATCAGTGTCTATCCCTGATATACAAACAATCTTCGTGTGCCTATAGCACAAAGAGGGATGCTCTCAGCCTGGACTCTTAGGGGAGTGCCTGGACCCTACCCAGAGTAAAATGACAGACTCTGATATCCCCTATGTGGAAGGATTTGGCAATAGGGTGGGAGGGTGGGGGGAAGGGGAGTGCGGGAGGAGGGGAGGGAGAGGGAACTGGGATTGACATGTAAAACAAGCTATTTAAAATAAAAAAATGATAAAATAAAAAAAAAGATAAAATACTAAGCAATCCTGTGGACAATTGAGGGAAAGACATTGCTTTGGGTGAGTGTACAGTGACTGACATTCATCTGGTGGCTTTTACTGAAGCTGAGCACAGGCAATTGTACTCCTAGAATAGACTCAGTAAGAGCTTATCCATGTCCACAAACCACAAGGACAAGAATAGTTACAACAGCAAGATGACAGCACCACTGTAAATGACCCTCCAGGTGAGGAAAAGAAGGAAGGGAAAATGAGTTGAGGTGTATCCAATTAAAAAAAAAGGCAAGAAAAATGGTGTAAAATAGTAGTATGAGATCTGCCATTATACACTGGGAACATAACTCAGTATATTATTGATTTAAAAAAAAAGGTGAACGAAGCTACTGCACTCTGAAAGCAGTAAGCCACTTGCCAGAATCAGAACAGAGGCTGTGTGAAGGAACAGTACTGGAAAGGGGTATGACATTGCAAGGCATTGGACATGTACTTCCTGCTCTCAGGCTGGTTACACAGACATGTTCAGATTTTTGAAAATTGTTCACGGGTATTTTAAAAAAGAACCCATACATATGCTTTTATTCACACACACAACAAGTTACTTAAAAGTGAATTTAAAGAAGGTTTCTGTTCTTTGTGGTTTGGTAATTTATATTCTAAAGACTGCAATGCAAATTAAGTAAATAAATGTTTACTATGTGACAACCAAAGCTTTCCAAGAGTAAGACAAAAATCTACATAAGAAAAATATTGAGAAGGTCCATATTTTTTAAATTTTGTATATCATTTAGCCAATGTTTCCAAATAAGGCAATACAAAAAAATAAAGCGAAACAATCCACCAAAGTTATCTGAAACCTTGTGTATTAAGAAAACAGAACTTTGTTCATTTGCACTTCTTGAAAATATCACATTGTTATCAAGGTATACAATCATGGTCACCATCATTCATTCACTCACTCATTCATGGCATAGTTACTGGCTAACTATTTAGACAAGCAAGTACTTGGGGGCTTTTACATATATTGTCCTCCTAGAGCTTAAGTCACAAACGTCAATGCCCGTCAGAACCAGGTGGAGATAAAAAGAGGCAGCGAGGCTGGTGGAAGCCTGTATTGTGGGGAGGAGCGATGGAGACCGTGAACTATTGGGACATTGTTTGGCACAGGCCTCTGTGTGGGTCGTGTGGCAACAAGCACCGGGCTCCCGCTGGTCTTTTCATGTGGGTCCAGTAGAAATCACAATTTACTGTGTGAACCCAAGCGGTTTTTTTTTTAACGTAAGCTCTGTAAAAGAAGGCAAACAAGACACCCTGGCTGTGAGCACCAGAGCACATCTGTGAACTGGATTAGGCATATGGCTGCCAGCGTATAAGGTCTGATCAAATGAAAGAGACACAAATGCTTGCTGGGCAGCAGCCATGAGCACTCACTTGCCCCATAGATGCCCAGCCAACCACACTAGCACTCCTCTTCGCTGGTTCACTGTCACCTCAGGATTTACAGTTCATGGATAAATCACAGTTAAGTACATTATAGTCTACACATCCCGTGAAATACTAGGCACCCATGTAAATGACTGGAATAGAAATACACCTCCTCCGTGTGTGTGTGTGTGTGTGTGTGTGTGTGTGTGTGTGTGTGTGTTCTATGTGCCAATGAGCTGTTTTGAGTGATGATGACTCAATCAGATCTATGAGTGCCTGGGAGGAGGTGAGTGTAGAGTGGGCACTAGGGCACTTTCTCGTTTTCATTAATGGACTCTTTCCATGCATTCATTTTCCTAGGTTAAAAAAATCCTTACAAGACAGCTTACTGTTCCCTGGGGATGATGCCTGCTAGTTTTAATTAGCTACAGTTCTGTTCAGCGTGAGCCTGCTTTGGACTCTCATTTGCCAGTGACCAACAGGAAGGCTGTTGAGCTGCCCAGACACAGGCGTACAGACACATGCTCCAGAGTACGGTTTCACACTGACTGTCTCAGACATCCAGGCTGTGGAAAGAGGGACTGCCTCCCAGGACAAAGATAACGAATGCAAAAACCTAGCAGGAAGACCCTGTTTTCCTTTCCCTGGAAAATAATTTAACCAGCTTTAAACTGGTAAGATTGGCAGGAGCTGAAGGCGTCGAGGAACAACCTCTGCTGAGACATTTTAACACAAACCTGCGATGTTAGAAATGACAAAAATAATGACGATAGCATTGGCCATGCTCTGTTTACCTTTGAATGAATAACATCTTGTGATTTTGTGTAGAAGGATAAAATAAAATAACATAGTGAGAGGCTAATATCCCAATAGAGAAGATGTATAATTTCTCTTAAAATGACCATTACTGTCTTTCAATTGTAACTTACCACTAATTATCTGGATATGGTAAGACTTGGAATGGCTTACACAAAAAAGTCTTCTTTTAAAGAACTAACCATATAACATTTATAGTTGATAGCTGCTATCTTACTGTAATGTTCTCTTCTACATTTAACATTTAATATCCATTCCAATGTATAGTACAATACACTTTAAATGTATATCATCAAATGATCACCATTTTATTGCCCTTAATCTCTATTATATTTTCTAGTAAAAGTAATACATGGCACACAAATCCCATCTACACCTGAGAACAAAACAAAAATCACTGAGCTCAAATGAAACACAAGTCCAAAAATAATAATTCTTTATATTTCTGTCACTTATTTGAAATGAAAACGTAAGAAAGTATGGACACACTTTAAATTAACAAACCATGCCACATACATGTGTCAGTGTATGAGCAATCTTGGTATAAATTGTCATTTGGATATTTTTCATTAAGCAAATGATAACTTAATATCTAAAGAACATAAATGCTGTATAAATGTATAAACGTTGTTAAATACAACTTTCAAGGAACTATTCTATTCAGATAGCTAATGATTATAAAAATTTACAAATTCCCCGTACAGACCGGGCATGCCCAGTGTGGTCGCCGCCCCAGCTCTGGGAGCACCGGGGCCGAGCCGGCAGCCGGGCTTGGAACAGGCGAACCAAACCTCGATGGGCGAGCTCCTGGGCTGGAGCCCTCCATGATGAGAGATTTGGGGGTACTTTCTCTCTGTTATTAATTGTCGAGGCAGTGAAAAGATGGCTGACAGTGTCAAAACCTTTCTGCAGGACCTTGGCAGGGGAATCTAAGACTCCATCTGGGGCATCTATACCATCTCAAAGCTAGATGCCAGGATCCAGCAGAAGAGAGAGGAGCAACGCCGAAAAAGGGCAGGTAGTGTCTTGGCCCAGAGGAGTGCCCAGAGTGTGGAGTAGAAACAAGAGGGTGAGCCTCGTATTGTTAGTAGAATCTTACAGCGTTGTGCTCGGAACGGTGCAGTATTATCAGTCTCCTCTTGTTTTACCCAATGTTTCTTCCTGTGCTTCAATCAGTAATGGCCCGGATTATTGGTGATCCATCACTGCACAGGGATGTTTGGTCATGGCTGGCATTCTTCCTCACATCAGTTTTCATTGCTCTTCGGAGGCTCCGCCTGTTTGTGCTTAGCTAAGTGGTGAATGCCATTTGGTTCCAAGATACAGATGACCTGGAATTTGAAGTATCTGGGAGGAAACCTCATTCATTTCCCAGTGTCAGCAAAATAATTGCTGACATGCTCTTCAACCTTTGACTACCGGCACTTTTCCTTACTCGGGGGATGTTTGTGAGTCTCTTCCCCATCCATCTTGTGGGGCAGCTGGTTAGTCCGCTGCATGTGTCTGGTCTCTACTCACTGTACTGCTTTGAGTAGTACCATTGGTTCAATAAAGGAATTGAAACGCGCCAGCGATTGTCAAACATAGAAAGGAATCGGCCTTACTACTTTGTATTTGGCTTGCCCTTGGCTTTCCTCACGGCAGTGCGGTCCTCCTATAATATCAGTGGCTGCCTCTTCTCTATCCTGTTTCCTTCATTCATCGTCAGCGCCAATGAAGCAAAGACTGCTGGAAAAGCATCTTTTCCAGTTGTGCCTCTTCTCCTTGGTGGTCTTTTTAAGTAACAGACTTTTCCACAAGATAGTCTACCTGCAGTCAGCCCGGAACAGCTCATCCCCTTCAGAGAAGTTCCCTTCTCCACATCCTTCTCCTGCCAAACTGAAAGCTGGTGCAGGCCACTAAGTCCTGCTGTCCAAAGGGGATGAGTGGGTGGGATTGGGGGTAGGATTGCAGCTCTTTCTCTGTTTTCCGCCCCCTGCCACGGAAGGCAGAACCCACTGTCAAGAGCCCTCTCTGCATATTCCCTTCCCTTGGATGAATTGGAATTTTTGTCTCTGGTGCAGTAAGGCAGAATCTTCCCGACTTCATTATGTGGGGGTTTTGGTGTGTGTGTGTGTGTGTGTGTGTGTGTGTGTGTGTGTGTGTGTGTGTGTGTGTGTGTGTGTGTGTGTTTACCTCCACCCTAGCTCTGAAAGGACGGGAGTTTTCCAGCTGTTTCTAGCACTTGCCAGCTCTTGTACCTGGACTGACTGACTACATTTTTTTTTACATATCCCTGCATCACTTACCCTCGCACTTCTTCCTGCCTTCTAGCACCCCTGGATGAATGGGCTTTGTAATTTTAACTGTTGTATTTTGTGAAGTTGTTGCTACTGTTTTTCTGTGAAGCACATACATTGGATGTGGGAGGTAAAGGAGCATTCCAGTAGCTCCAGGTCACTCCTTCTATAGCCATCGCTGTCTCATTTTTTTGTAACTCACATTAGGTTTTGGTCTCTCTTGCTCTGCTGCAGAAAAGGAAAGAAGGGAAAAAGAAAAAGAACTTGAAGAAATGGGACAGATAGACCCCAGCTAAACTAGCTGAGTTTTGAGGAATTTGGTTTTTCTTTCTTCTCCTTGAAGGGGAAACTGCTTTTTTCACTGGTACAATTTAAGTTCCCCAAGTATGGGGCAGTACCAGTTCTGGAAAAGTGCCACCACATCACAGAATGCTCAAAGAATCTGAACTTCTTAACCCTGAAGATGAAATTCACTGTTGGCCACTGCCGAGACTCATGGGTGTTTTAAGGAATATTGGATGCTTCATATAGCAACTGAAGGGGTGAGCTTATTAAAACCATTCAACCTGTGATTAGTCATGTTTCATTTTAAGACTCTAAATATGGGATGTGAGGGCAGATGTAAAAAGAAACTTGTACAATTTTAAAATATCACAATTAAACGTGAGCTAGTTTCCCATTAAAAATTTACAGGTTGTATTTAATTCCATATCTTTATTTTTGACCTATTATTGAAAATTCTATCCAAACAATGAAAAGTAAATATATCTAACAGAAACATCAAAAGAACAAATTTGGAATCTACTGTTTTGTTAAATCAAGATAGGCATACTTCTTTGTAAAATGCAGAGAATATTAAATGCGTGACTAAACTGACCATAGTTGTTTAAAATAAAATACTGGTTTCAGATAAATAATGCTAATGGACAAATTTTGAAAATTTAATATCTGTTATGAAATTATTTTAACATTGTAGTAGGGTTGTTACTGTGCACTAAAAACAGAAAAAAAGATCAATGTATTAAGAAAAGAAACATTTATGAAACACCCATGAGAAAAACATACATTATTTTAAAAAGCCATATTCCTAGCCAGGATGCCACATGTTTGCAATCCTAGACCTCGGGACCCTGAAGCAGGAGGGTAATGAATTTTAGGCCAACCTGGGCTACATAGCAAGACCCTGTATCAAAGCAAACAAATAAGCAAGCAACAAAAAGTATGTATTTATAAGGCCCATGTTTTACAATGTTTTAGATGTACATTCTTCCCATCTCCATTAAAATTGAGTTTCCAACATTAAGAGAGATGCAAGATAATATTTAAAACATATGAATCCTCAGAAAGTCCATACATAACTAGGAGAAAAATTATTTACAGTATACAAGGTACACATGCACCCTGGCAAGAATGTTACTTGGGTGCTGTCCTAACATATTTTCCAGTATATTTGCTCTCTTCTAGAGGTAGGCATACAGCCCTGACAGTTGCAAAGCCAATAACATCCAAACTTCACAGGAGGCGAGACTTATCAAAATCACATGCCGAAATTCCTAAAGTTCATTTGTAATTCTCTTTGGTGCAAAGTACATTTGCATGACTAATTTAGTCTGCATATTTAAAAAGTGATATAAACATGCTTTAAATAAAATTACACTGAAAAAATATGCTCTCTACTTATAAAACACGAGAGCAGTCTACATTTAAAAACATATGCCTTCAAGGACAATCAATTTTTTTCCATATTTGGATATACAAATTCTGGAGATGGCCCGTATAGTCATCCTGTAACCTTCATTGAATCTGTAAGGAATTTTTCATCTTCCACCTCCTCAAAAAAAAAAACTCCAAACAAAATTCAGAAAAGAATTACTTCTTTTCAAGCCCTTCACAATGTGTCTTTGCCTGTTTCCCTCAGAAATTTTATATAAAAGCATCTGTATAAATCAAACATTCTCTTTGTCCACAAAAGATGAAAAGAACAGGTGTAATGTGGGAACATTGCCAGTGGCAGCCAGGATTTCCAATCCCAGGTAAGGACTTCTGGGAAATTCCCTTCCCTTGGGTGTGGTGGGTGGGTCCTGTGAAATGGTTGGGAATCATTCCCTGGGTTACTGTTACTTCCTGCTGCACAGTAGATGGGAATAAGTTTCATTACATGACTTCCTCCTACAGACCCCAGAGAAGGGATTTCCCATGCTATAGTAAAGACAGTTGGTAGAGGATCTACTGTGGTCTTTCCCAGGTGAGGACAGCCATCAAAAGGATGGAGATATCATCCTTAGAATTTAAAATCAGCTGGGCATTGGTGGCACACGCCCAGCACTCCAGAGGCAGAGGCAGGTGGATCTTTGTGAGTTCGAGTCCAGCCTGGTCTATAGAGTGAGTTCCAGGACAGCATCCAAAACAATACAGAGAAATCCAGTCTCAGAAAGTTTTTTAAATCAAATTATGCCAATATCAACACAAACATGACCAGAGATGTCAGAATCTGGGTACACCTTTATTTCAGCCTGGGAGACCCGAGCAGAAGAATCAGCTGTGAACACTACCTGGTGTCCTGCCCCCATGAAAACTATGCTATATATACTTGTGTTTTTTTTGCAAGTGGATACAATTTTAATAATTTGTTATATAAAATAGAAAGTTCGCACCATTAGGAATATACTAACACTGTTTTGCTAAAAACACTGTCCTAAGAGAGCTTTTACATTTTGAAAGCCATTTTGATTTTTCTAGAATCTCAAGGTTTTTGCCACTAACACATAAATTTATATCAGACAGTTTGCTTTTTATTGTGTGAACCATTATATTTATTGCAGTTTCCATTTTCTCTGAGTTGTGAATAAACTAGATATGGACATAAATGTGTGGTTTATGTAATGCATTATATATTTTTTTATCTTCCAGTTTAAATTTAGATAAGAAACAAGGTTGCTTCAGGGGAGGGAAATGCATTATATTTTTATAGAGGCATGCATTCTAGTCTCCAAAAATTCCCCATAACAACACAGCCAGCAGCTGGGAAATCACAGTCAGTCTCAACATCACCTATCACAATTGCCTCCAAATGCTACCCCCATGCAAGGACCTCCCAAGGCCATAAATTACTGCAGGAGCAGAGAGAACATGGGATTCCAGAGCCTTCCTGGCAGAGAAACACCACTTTAGAAAGCAGATGAAACTCTCGGCAGCTTTGCTGAACCAATCTCCCAATGATTGCAAGGGACTTTGGGGTAGGATACAGATCCATGAGCCTCCAAGTTATCGCATCTTTATCACTTCTGGAAGTTTAAAAAGCTTGTCCAAGAAAGGGATATATAGAGTCATGGAGAAAGTAGTATTAATATTCAGATTAAAAGATCAGGAATACGATTCATGGGAATATACATACATAGCCACAAGTTGGACATTCACAAAACCGCAATGGTGAATCCTACATTGTGAAGGTAGACATGGATTTTGAGTCCTACTGCCCTTATTAAAGTTCAGCAAAACTAACTATATACAAAATGAGTAATAGAAAAAGGTTCTAGCTGAATCCAGTTCAGGGCTACAAGAAAATAAAACAAGAAATGCAGTACTATTACTACAGACAATGGGAGGTAGTCAAAAGACAGCAGAAAATTTATAGAAATATAACTTAGTATTTACATAGAAGCTGAAATTAGAAAAATATAGAATACAAGAGATGGCCAGTTCAGACTCTGTATCCTCCATTACTAAGAGTATTCACTGGGGTCATCTTCATAGATTCCAGAAGTTTCTAGTTAACTAGGTTTCCACACCACCCCTTCAAATGCCCCCGAGTTCCAGCATCTCTCCCCACCCTCTCTCCTCCCATCCCATCACCCTTAACCTGATACCTTCTCCTCCCATCCCCACCTGCCTCCAGTCCACCGGAAATATCTATTTTCCCTTCCCAAGGAGACCCATACACTACCTCCTAGATCCCTCCTCTTTACCTAACCTCTCTGGATCTGTGAATTCTAACTTGGTGTCATTTAGCTAATAGCTAATATCCACTTATCAATGATTAAACAACATATTTATTTTCTGGGTCTTGGTTATCTCACTCAGGATATTTTTTCTAGTTCAATCCATTTACCTGTGAATTTCATGATTTCACTTTTTTTAAAGTGCCTCCATTGTGCAAATGTACCATGTTTTGTTTATTCATTCTTCAGGGAAGGAACATCTAGATTGTTCCCAGTTTCTGGATATTATGAATAAAGCTGCATTGAACATGAAAAAAAGAAAAGAAAAGTGTAGAATAAAAGAACAATATGGGCAGGGCAGTGGAGAGATGGTGGCAGGCCTTTCATCCCAGCACTCAGGAGACAGAGGCCTGGTCTACAGAGTGAGTTCCAGAACAGCCAGGACAAACAAATAAAAAACAAACAAAGAAAACAATGTGGACCAAAATTATAAATTCATCAAGACACATCATGACAGAATACAGAAAGATGCAGAAAGAGAAAGAAAAAATATTTTTAAATAAATAAGATAAAAATAAATGAAGAGAATAAACAAGGAGGAAATATTAAACTTTCCAAGAAAGAGGATAAGAAAAACGATTAGAGTGTTAGTTACCAGAAATATTCCATTTGTAAAAAATAGAGAACAGACAGTAATGTAAATTTTTAGGATGCAGTTATTTTATTTTATGTGTATACATGTTTTGTCTGCATATGTGTCTTGGATTCCCTGGAACTAGAGATGCTTGTTAATCACCATGAGTATAGAATTAAGCCCAGGTCCTCTGGAAGAACAGCCAGTGATCATAATCAGTAATCAGTAAGCTACCTCTTCCGTCCCATATAATTTGATGTTTACATTTTTGTACTTCTTGTACTTATATATTTTACTAATTAGAAGTTAAAATAATAGAAGCAAAAGACAAGGAAAGAGATCAACGTTCAAGAGCAGGCTGGCTTCAGTCATGTTCCAGAAGGCCAATGTTCACATTCATACTACAGTGAGATGCACTGCTTTTGCCTATCTCTAACTTGCTGCCTGTCTACTGTGTGAACAGCAGCCCTATGAAGCATTAAACACTACAGTGTTTAAACCCCCATCATTCTTTGCAGCTCACTCTCCCTTTTTTGTTCCTACCTCCCTATTCCCCCCATTTATCTTTGTAGACTTTCATCCTTTATTAGATTTCCAACTCTGAGGTACCTGGGCATTGCATTTAGGCTGGTTATTCAAACTCTCCTAGGCATGCATATCAAATCTTCATACTAGAAGATTATGATATGCATGCAAATATACATACACACTGGAGGAGGTGGGGGATAAATAATGAAGTATACTTCCAGCTTGTGTCCGAATTCTGAAAAATAGTCCTTAGTATAAGACATTCAAGATGTATTGGTTGAACACACTTGCTTCTTCCCTATCTTCCTTACCTCTAAGACGGCAGTTTTATCCTCCTATTGGGTAAAAGTTACGTTCTGTGTCTGGTAAAATAATAAAAGTAATTTCTGCACTTCTGTACCTCTCCATACCTTTTCCCTTACCTCTTTCATTGCATGAACTGTATTGCCACCATTAAATACAAATTAATACTCCATTATTAAGCCACATTTGACTTTCCGTAACCTAAACTCTTCTCCCAGCAGTATTGATTGGTGAGATTTGCCTGTCAATTTAATCATGATCTCTCTTTCTCCTGTATGAGTATGAATCTATACCAAACTAATTATACCAAATCTCTACTCACTCTGTTTCCATGGATATTCCTGAGACAGTCTATAAGTGAGAAATGAAGGAAAACTCAAGATGGGTAGTAGAGAATCAGGAACAACCATCACTTTTCCCTAGGGAATTGAATGATTACATCTTTGTTAATGACTCCATCTTGCCCTGAACTCAATTTTTCATTACTGTAAATGAGAATAAAGATAGAGCTAAGAAATTCTGAGCATTTATGTGACGGTCTCAAAAATAATCTACCATTTGAATAGTTGAGTGTTTCTATGTTAAAGGCTGCATATCTCCATGATTAACAAGAAATTCACTGGAACTGCTTCTAATTCCTGTTCATTTGCAACATCTGAATAAAAATGCTAAGTTGTACCCAGTCTGTTGGTGAACACTTTCTCACTTCAGCTCCACACATCCTTCTCCACTGTGGTAGCAATGTTGTTCTCTCTCTCTGATCTCCCAGGATGCTTCTGATAGGCTCCTCAAATGCCTCTCTGCCCTTCATCTTTTCCTGCTTGAATTGTTCCAACTGATGCCATGTCACATGAGTAGTCTGCTTAAAATTCCATCTTCTCCACTTCTGACTTCAGAAACTCTCAAGTGCCACAGTGTGGCATTGAGGTCATTCATCAGCTTTCCCTGCCATTATTTCCTACTATTCTCCATGTCACAAACTCAAATATTTGCAAACACATCACATAATGACTCGCTGTGAGCCTTTTCATTAAAGTATTTTCCTTGACTATGATAATTGGTAGCTTTTCATTTATTCAGATAGTGTTCTGGGATTCCATACGGTGCTTTGGGAATAGATCCTAACTACTCTGATTATCATGGGGTTACAGATTCCTCTTATGAGATGTAGTTTTCATAGTGAACTGCATGACACCAGATATTCAATGCTATACATATTCAGCTTAATTACACAATGCTTCTGCTTTGATAACACAACTGTAATTTGTATTGCAACAACTTTTTCATGGTGAATAAAACAAGGGGGAAAACTTTTACAAAAACTATTTGGATGCAACGAATTATATATGTGAGCAGATCCTGAGCCGCGACTGAAAAGTTGAAAACAGTGACAGCGTGACTTTAAGTTCAGCTATAGCATGAATTAATAATCCTTAGCCTGTAGTCAAGTGGAAAGGATGGGAAGCAGAGTGATGACTTCAAGAAGAGTCTTCTTGAGTGATCAGAGGGTATTTCACAGATTTGCTAAGACGACAAGCAAAGGGGAGTGTTTGACCGAAGAAATACTGTGTGCAGTGTTTTTCTTCCAGAATAAAAATAAGCCTTGTGGATGAGATGACTTATTTGCCACACCAGCCTGATCAGTGGATCTCAATTCCTAGAACCGTCATAGTGGAGAAGGAGAGAAAAATATGACTAAAAGTGAACTGAGCTGGTGACCCTTGAGATGGGTGATGCCTAGAAGGTAAACAAATATGTATCCATGCTGGAGCCTCTTCAGGGAAGACATGTGTGACTGAATGGAGCAGAAATGATATTCAAAGAAAGATTTTGTAAAACATGAACATATGTGATACATAAACCTCATTCATGTCTTGATATCCTAAGAAATATAGCTATGCTTTTGCCAAAGTCCTCTGCACTTAGAGCTACATTTCAGATGACCTGTTGAAAACAAAGAAACATACTATTTTGAAAGAAAAGGCAACTTCAAACAAGTTAGAATGGATGGGAATGAAACCATATTTGCACTAAGAAAAGAATTAGACACAGAGACCCCCCCAATAGCCTAGGTTTTGGAAATAAGACTGTAGAATTTTCTCTCCTAAGTGAAACACATATACCACACATCTTCCTCCCAATGTCCCGAAATCATTGCAGGAGACAGAAAGATTGTAAGAGCCAGAGGCTGTGGATGACCACCAAGAAAAGAGTCTTTGGAAACAGCAGGGCATCTGCACATATTGATTCATGGTGACTATGATAGCATTGTGGCCGTGACAACCTTTACAAGACCTGTGCAAGCCCAAGACACACCAAGTCCCAGCATGGAGAGGGGAAGTGGGTTTGGAATCACATCCCTCGCCTTGGAGCTATCTGCTAGGAAATGCAGAGTCCAATTAATCTAAGTGACACACATCCAAGAGTTTTAGATCAACACAAGCTGGTCTTGATGGATTTTGTTTTGTTCTGCATTTATTGTTTTTGCTGTTGTTTTAATGACACAAAATTAGGTAGATGAGGATAATGAAGAGTTGTAGGGGTGAGCATGATCAAAGTACATTGTGTGGAATTCTCAAAGAACTAATAAATTTAGTACAATCTAAAAGAACAGAAAGAAAATAGAGCCAACAAAGCATCTTAAAATACTGAAAGGTTAAGGGAACAGTCCTAATCCAGAATCTTCTGCTCAGAGAAAGTAAAGGATCAACAAAGGTGTCATTTAATACATGAAAACAGACAGACTACGTCACTAGCAGATATATACTAAAAATGTATGCATTCTGGCTGTGCATATGTCTCCTTGTAATCTGATTATAGAATTTCTGCTGTGCAATTATGTAATCTGTCCTTGAAGTAATCTGATTCGCCATCCCTGTGTCCCTTCTCTAAATGTTTCAAGCAGTTCATTGAGATATGTTTGTATGTTATACTTACATTTAGTATACAACTGAGGGTGACAAGCTAATATATAAAGCATGCTAATTAAAAATTCTCTCTGCAAGGATAGTTAACAACTAATGTACCTCAATCTGGGGAGGTCTCTAGAGACAGTTACTAAGCACTTTAATGTTGCTAATTGTGTTTGCACCTGGGTATTAACTAGTGCAAGTACTCTCTGAAAGAAATCTTAGTATAAATGAATGGTATTTCTTTTTTCTTTTTCTTTTTTTTTTTGAGACAGGGTTTCTCTGTATTGTTTTGGAGGCTGTCCTGGATCTAGCTCTTGTAGACCAGGCTGGCCTCAAACTCACGGAAATCCACCTGCTTCTGCCTCCTGAGTGCTGGGATTATAGGTGAGCGCCTCCAACGCTGGGCATGAATGGTATTTCTTATTATATGGTTATAGGATACATTGTATACTCACTGCTGCATTTTCACAAATGGAATGTAAGTATCAGATTCTCTCTCTCTCTCCCTCTCCCTCTCCCTCTCCCTCTCCCTCCCTCCCTCCCTCCCTCTCTCTCTCTCTCTCTATATATATATATGCAATGATAAAATCAAGGAATATGTATATTCAGTTATGCCTTCACATCTAAATGAAAGGCAGCAATTCCAGAAATCAGAACATTGTTTTGCACACTGCGGAATGAAATTGTGATATCACATGTGACAAATATGTCCAAGATAAAGGAGAGTCAAGGGTTCACTCAGCTTGCAGGAACCGGTTATGGTGATTAACCTTTTCACCTCCTGTTGGCAAACATTATCTTGTTAAAAGTGGCTGTGGGGTTTGCAGTCATTGCTATGTGGTACCATATTGCCTCATGTATGTTAGGTGAAGAGATGTATGGTTTTCTCACACTGAGATTTATCTTTCGTTACTTTGAAATCTTTCCCTCTGTTGTGTTCTCACATCATCTGGCTAGGAAGAATACAATTTTAAAACCAAATAGCTTTACATTCTTCTATAAAGTACAGCATGCAACATTTTATATACATAAATTGTATCTATCTTTGTTCACAAGTACAGTGTTTGTTAATCTGTTTCATACATACATATAAAATGTATATAAGACAAAGTATTTTAATGTTACAAATCTGTTTCAAGCAGACAAATTAAGGTAACAAAATTGCTTGCTGAGTAAATACACATGAAGTTAATTAGTTAATTAGTTCACAGACTGAGAGCTGACAAGGGTTTTAAAGACACTGGGAGACCATTCCTCCGCCTCAAGCACATTAAATAAATACAACTCAAATGGTTTTGTTTTGTTTTGTTTTTGAGGGAGACAGCACAATCTGTCTTTTATAACATACTTCTTACCTCTGAATGGTACCCAACTCTGATGAAGGCACAAAGTGGATCGAAGGCGCCAGTAGCACAGGTCAGAAGGTGTGTCCTGTTGTAGTGATGCAAAACCCGAACGTAATTGGCACAGTCATTCTAAAGCAGAAGCACAAAGGACAAGTGTGGTTTAGAATGAAACAGATGTTACCATGCCTTTGATCTTTGTGGTCCCTAAACCTTGGAAGGGAGTCTGAATTGGGAGGGAAAGGAAAAGAGACTGGAATAAAGATGAGAAACTGGAAGAAAGGAGCTAGAGTGAGGGACACACCTTTTAATGAGCAGTGAAATGTGAGCTACTTTACAAGTGTTGCCGTTCTGTAAATCATTTTTGCAGTATTCTATCACAGTCGAGGATATAAAACCAATGTTTACAAATGTATTCAATCATAATGACTTGCATTCAATACCCTCCCCACGTATTTAAAGAATTCCCATTGCTGCTATTTTTAAGACCATTATAAACAAGGAACCAGCATAAAATTAGAAATCCAGCAATTACAGAACAGTCTTAATTCTTAAGAAAATATAGCATGTGGACAGTAGGGAATTATAGAAATATTTAATAGTTTGAAAGTTCCTAACTGGCAAAAGTAATTCTGACAAAGATTACATCACAATACCTAAATGCCCTAATAAAGTAAGCATTAAAATATAGTTTCTAATATTTATTTAAAGAAAATATGCCCTCAGATGTAGAAGTCTTCAATGGTACCACAGAGTTTTGATAGACAAAATAATGCTCATAAACTCAAAATCATAAATTCACATGTATGTAATTTGGGGAATATTTAAATATATATGTGACACTAACCGCTAGAAACATGTACGCAAAACATCCATACACACAATATAACAACACATCAATTTTTAAATTCATGCTACAGTAACAATGGTATCCTATTATCTTTTAACTCTACATTAAGATTAGTCTTATAGAGTAATGCATTTATTGTATGCCTTCTTTCTTTTTGAAACATTTCATCTATGTCTTTGAAAATAAATAAAACTTTAGTGATTCAATACTTTATAGGCAACCCAGAATAAAATCTATGATTTGTTTAATCTACAATGAATAGTACTTACTGTGTCTTTTCCTTTCATTATGCATTCTTCGACTTTCGATGGTGGACTAGGCCAGTGTATCTGAAATTGAAGATAAGGCATTGTTATGGCAACTGTGTATAGAAGTAAAACTCACTAAAAACCATTTTGTTTTCTTCTTCAATCCAGTCTATTATTTGCAATCCATTTTGTTCTACTTTCTGAGAAGATAAGTAAACCTTATCTTCTTTGGATAATTGTATTGTAGTGACCAGCCCCCCTCCCATTTCAGCAGTCGTGACAGGTCAACATGTGCTTGCAGGACCTTGCTGCTCTTGTCCTGATCACTAGGAGGTCAGATGCCCTCCTCGTGGTAAGGAACCAATCAGAAGCTAGCTGGCAGGGCTGTGCTTCATGACTCTGAGTATGCTTTAAGGACAGTGCATAACAGTGATGTGCAGAGCACAGCAACTGCCCTGGGAGGGCCTATGGGCCATAACAACCATTTGACCAATCAACACAGGGCAAGTCATCCTGGAAGCGCACCAATCCTGAAGCTATTTCATACCCCTAGACACTCCCCTTATGCTGCCTTTTAAGTTCCCTGCCTCCAGGTAGCTCAGGGTCTTTCTACAGCCATCCACCATGGTGGATGGATGAAGGGCCCGAGCTAATGGGTTTAGCTCATTAAGTAACTTCAATAAAAGACTCTGCTTTTGCATTGAAATGGGCTTCTTGGTGATTTGGGGGTTCAGAATTTGTGCACAACAGAGTGATTAAGAAACTTCTCTGTAAACTCTCACTTGATGCTGTCTTTTTGGGAATCCCTCGTCTTCCTGGTGGTTCTGTTCAGCTTTCACCTGCAGAACCAGCCACTCTGGCACCTACTCTATTCCATATTTCACCTGCTGGAATCTCTGATTTCCAATTTGTTGGTGAACAAGACTACTCATGGTGTCAAGACAAGCCTCTCCTCGAATTCTTTGAGTTCCTCTTATTTTTACCACCAAGCACAGAAAATCAGTGTTCTGGACTCTTAGTAATGTTTGGGCCAAAGGAGAGTATGAAAGTATGGTAAATGCATCACTCAGCAACACGTCACAGACACGCTGCAGCTTTGGACGGCTACACGGCGAGTTTGCAACCAGTCCTGGAAGCCTTGTCTCAGTGCTGCCTTACACAACAAAGAGAGGAATGGGTGGGGCCACTAGGCAGAGAGAATAAATAGAAGGTAAAAAAGGACACCAGGAGCCAACCACCCAGCCACACCGTCAGACATGGAATAAGGATTAAAGCAAGCAATAGAATAGGGAAAGGTGAAAGCCCAGAGACAAAAGGTAGATGGAATAACTGAAATTAAGAAAAACTGGCTAGAAGTAAGCCAAGCTAAGGCCTGGCATTCATAAGAAATGTGTGTGTTTATTGGGAAGCTGGCTGACAGGCCCCCAAAGAGCAAAGGGTGAAAATAAAAACCAGTTATAATTTATGACCTGAGTCAAGATATTGCATAAAAGTGTCAAGGGTATGTGTCCGGGAAGTGAAGCCACAGCTGATGGTGTGTGTCCTGGAAGTGAAGCCACAGCTGATGCCGTGTGTCCTGGAAGTGAAGCCACAGCTGATGCTGTGTGCCCTGGAAGTGAAGCTGCAGTATTTATGATCTTTACCTGATCTAGCATTTACATTTGAAAGAAAGCTCATTTCCCTGAGAGATTTTCTACAATCATTTGTAAAACCTTTTCTACCAAGTTGAGAATTATGACCTTACTCTGAATTTATAACTTATTTAAATTCATTTCTGAAAGTAGACTTCATATGCATATATGCATATATACGATATATATTAAACAAAATAAAACTCATTTCAGATGTCTATAATTTCATGACTTCATTTATTGATATAAAGAAATTAGAATACAGATAATCAACAACTTAGAATAATTCCTTCTATCCTTAACATACATATTAGATATGAAATCTCCAAAATGTTACCATCCTTCTTTTTCACTTTATATTCATTATAAAAAGACGATTTTTTAAATTGTGTTCTGAGAACACAGTACCACGTGAATAATTCTCTTATTGTTTCATAGTGATTATTTCCAAACACACTGTTTTGGTGGCGAATCTCAAAGCATTTCTACTTATCTTCTGATGCCATTTATTCCAGACTATCTTTCCAAATAGCTAGGGAAGGCACATATTCAAATTTATGTAAGGGTAAAAGGGAAATTTGTTCAATGATCAGGGAAATGAAGAGTAGGTCTCTCTGGCCAGAGGTAAGACATTTTTGCTGACAGTCTCTCCTGCCGCCTAATGACGAAAGGTTTTCTGAGCTTGAGGTTCCTCAAGTGTAAAACATTCACCATTCACCGTCTAGCAGTGTCTGCTGAGGCTTCTATCCATCCCCGCTGCAGAACCTGACCTGGGACTCTTGCTGCCTGCTGCTTAAGTAACAAGACTCCTTTGTCTCTGGCCCAGGAGGGTAATGCTTTCTGATACGAGTCTCAGAAACCATACCAACAAACTTGCCTTGAATATAATCGAAAACCTCAGGCCCTTCACAATATGGATCAAATAAAAAAGAGTGTACTATGTGGTAATGGTGATAATAAATACCCTTTCTAGAATTTTCAGAATATGTATTGGTCCTAGAACAAACCTAAGGAGGGCAATTAACCTGAAGATGACAAATCTAATCTTGCAAGCATGTTTTGCAACGTGATTCTCAACAAAGCCTTTCCAGATATCTATCTTTTTCTACTTTGATCCCCTATGGCGTTCTTGTTTGTACAAATACTACAATGATTTATATATGTAATTTTAGCTCTCTTATTAGAATACGAGGAAGTAAGCCTGTTAATGTCAGTTGAACCCATGATTTAGACGGTCTATTTATTCAGTGTCTGATGATTGGCACCTTTATCACATTCTTTATAAAGACAGTCCACCTAGAGATCTCATTGTGAACTCTAAGAGATACAGTTCACAGGCATGAAAATGCCCCCAAAAAGGTCAAATGAAAAGTAAAAATTTCCAGTTTTATCAGGGTAGAAATACTATAGCATACTGACAATGGACTAAGTGTTCAAAAACTAGTAGGGCCAGTGTAATCAGACAAAAAGAAACTGATCAAGCCATTCTGATTGGAAAGAGGTTGATGAAATTGGTCTATAAACTCTACAGTAAAGTCCAATCTATGGAGAAATTTTCCTCAAAGCTCTGTTGTTCTAGTTTTGTTAGGAGGGTTTTAATAGTTTAACATGCTCAAGACTTTAGCCAAAAGTTAACTGGGTGTCAAAATAAGACAAAATGACTTCCATAAAAATATAAAGTTACATGTTTAAAGTAATCATGTGTAAATGCTCTGCCAAAGTAGTATGGAAAATAATTTTCTTCATTTGTTTTGGCAGTCAGGATGTCTTTTGGTTTTGTTCCACAGTTTAGCATCCAAAGGAGCCATAAAAGTAAGTTATTTGTTCTGCACAAACATTTTTAAAGGCAGTTAAACAACAGGGTGTACTGTTGCTTCCAAACTTTCTGTACTCAAAAAGGTACAAAAAGCAAAAGGTTAAATACACATCATTTTATCACAATCCTTCTTCTGTATAATTCAGTCACCCCACTGCACATCAACAGCCATTTACTGCTCTTTCACATTCAAAAGAGAAAAGTAAGGCAAAATATAAATTAAATTATTAAGTCGCTTTTTCTGGGCTCCCTGTTGAGATTAATAATTATACCACTATTAAGGGTTTCACAGCTTGCTGTTTTACCACATTCAGACTTTGTGGGCCAGAAACAAATTAACAAGGATAGGATAACTTAACTGTTAAAAATTTCCTTTCTACTTAAAAATAAATTCAGCTAGCACACATTATCTCCACAGATTATAAACACATGACTATGACCCTATTGTAACTTCACTTAGTGCTATCTTCAAATTTCCAGTATTCTAAGGATAAATGCTTTATAATTTGATTATACATTCTATATTTTGTATCTATGTACAATAGGAACCATTAGTATAAACTCAAATTATGCATGCCATAAATATCATTAAAAGCAAGAAAATATATGTGACTATAACACATTAAAATCATCCTAATGGCTTATAAATGACAGTCCTCAACCTCACACACATTATCACTCCTAGGGTTTATGCCTTTGCACCTAATTATAATGACTGTCATTATCCAAGCTGTTTATAAGCTAGAATTATGATCTTTTAGACTCTAGACAAAAGTTAATACTTGAAAAGCTTATTCTCCAAAGTGTGTGGACTCAAACAGAACCTGCGCATTATACAAACATCAATGACCTGATAAATGCCCCCCTTTATGTACAAAACTTTCTCAATTGCCATCATTAATGTGAATTGCCCTCTATAATTCACATGCAAATTATATTTTAACATTTCCCTTTTGCTGAATCAAAAACTAAATTCTAAACTACAATATTCATTTTGACCTTGAACAAATGAGAAAATCCTGGGTAGTGTTTCTAAATAGGATTTTCTAATGGCAGTCATATCTACAGAAATGCAAAAATGTGATGTAATTTTAAGCTCAAAATCAGCAAAATAAGCTTAAATTTAGAAACTTGGAGAGCAAAATGTTACCAAAGTCTAAAGGTTTATTGCTAAACACTGGTTAAATTATGACCTTCATAAAATACAGTTCATATAAAGAAACTATCTGTTTCTGATTTTTCATAGGAAAGAAAAACAAATTTTATGCTTTAAACAAAAATTGATGTTATCCAGAGGGTAAGTTTGCTTTGCAGGAATTCACAGAAATTGTCTTCCAGACTCAGACTCCAATAGGAGGTAAAGGCAGAACACAGATAACCTGTAACCCGGGGTTGGATGCCGGAGCCTCCTGGAGCTGTCAGCCCTGTGGTCAGTAAGGAAAGGTAGTGACCTTCCTTTAAATTCCTTCCACTGTCATTTCTCACACACTGCTATGCTAAACGGCAGATCTGCAAGGCAAGCAAGAACCAAAGGAAGCTACCTCCTTACAAAAGATGCAGGCAGGAGGCCTGGAACCTGAAAACCAGTAGAGAAGGGCTCTGTGGCAAGAGCACAGGCTTCCAGGATGTGATGGTTTCGGGTTATAACCACTACTTACTAGCTTCCGATCTCTGGTCTCTTCTTCCTTCCATGTACTCAGTATGCTGCTGCAGAAGTAAACACAACCGAACTCGTCCAATTCTAACTATGCTTCCCCCTTGTTCGGAATGTGCCAGTCACATTAACGTTGACTATAAGACTGTGTTCCACAGCAGACAACCAATTGCCATGGTGAGCCGGTCTCAGCCACATGCCCATCTTTTCTGCTCGCTTTGAGCCTTGTCTCGCCTGAACCTCTCATCCCTGCGTTCATACCTCCGTCTTACTTAGAAACGATGGCACAAGGGAATCAGCTCCTTAAATCCTAATGATGACAAGTACATAGATAGTAATAATTGTTTGAGACACTGTCTTAAACATGTGCTACCTCATCTGAACTCCTCAGAAAGTACAAGAGAATGGTACTATGGTTAGTCTGTCTATGAATGAAAAATATAGATAAAGAATAAATAGGACCACATCAATAATCTAATAAGTGGTAGACTTAAGATGAGGGTCCAGGCTGTCTAGCTATTCAATCTCTGGATTTGTATTCTGCTGTCTAACATATTAAGAGTTTTCTATGAACTACTCAAATAAGCCTTAAAATTTTTAACAACTGATTTGAAGTTCAGTGGATTAATGTGTTAGTGAATGTGCTAGTGAAATACAAAATGTCCATCTTTTGAGTATGAATCTACTAGTCACTATCTTCCCTGGTTGCAGCTTGATATTCCCAGAGGAATAAATGCATTGTACATGAAGAATATAGAGAGAGGTTATATTTTTTAGATAATCTAAATCAGAATTTATAACTAAATCATGAATTATAATTTAAAAGTGACTGACAGGAAATATGATAAGAACTGTTCCAACATCATACATGAAGAGCGATGAATTCCTGCACATGGGAACAAATACAGGTGAAAGCTTCATTATAAACAACATCTAGCAAGAAGGTCAGTGATGGGTACTGAAATGCAAGTAAATGAAATGTCTCCCCATTTTCATCTTTCTATCAATGTTGTATCTTGATATTGTTAGTTCTGGATAAGAAATCTCAAGATTATGCAAAGCATTTCACTCCAAAAATGCTTTCCTCTAATTTAGCCAAATCTTTTCTTGGAGTCTAAGATTTAAGAGTTAAAAAAAATAGGATGGTTGCTTGCTTCTTAAATTTTTCATAAAATGTCACTGACAAGGTGATGAGATCAGAGTTGAAATCTAAAAATCTGATGTCATTTGGGGGTGTTTTATATACCTTTAGAGAGGGGAACAAAAAGGTATAAAGAAGGATAGAAAATAACCAATTTTAAAGAAAGACCAGCAAAGAAGGGTTCATATCACATAAAGAACAAGTGTCATCTTACAAGAGAAAACTGGGAGTCTCTGGCAAACAAGGCAGGAGAGACAGAAAGAGATGGTAGGCTGGCCTCTGACAAGGAGTTTGATGCCCTCAATGTGCTAAATGAAGATTAGTAGTCACTCATCTTCCCTGAGAGACCATCTAGGCTAATCCATCATGACACATCCCTGTTGACTGCTGACTCTAACCACCAAAGGCAGCACTGACCCTAACCCGGGGTCAATAATCAATACTTAGAATCACATCTCATAGGGCTCTGTGCAGCCTTTAATTTGACCTTATCCTTCTAAATGCCTCCAATCCTTTTGTTAAATCTCCTGGAACACCATTAACAAAATTCCTCCTGATGTCACATTTTTCCCCCTTTACCTTCTCTCTCTAATTAAAACCAGGTCACCCCTTAGTCTACCAGTTTTCTACTAGCCATCTCCAGTGATGGTGGCTTTCTTAATCTGGTGAAGATGTTTTC